TCACTAACTCCACAGCCTCCTGCACACCCTGGGAAATTCCTTGTTCCCAGTTTATGTGATGAAAGCCAACAGAGAGCTGTGTTAGTTTGAAACCAAAATAATCACTTCTCGCCAATGAGGCTTTGCAGGTTGGGGGGAGAGATGAGTCATCATCTTCCGCTTTACAAAAGTATTATTTTGTAAAAAAAAACTGTGTGTGTGTGTGTGTGTGTGTGTGTGTAGTTTTGAAGGAGGTAGTGCAGCAGTAAAAAAAATGAAAACAATTATAAAGCCATAGAGTAAGTAAATAGGCCAGAGCAAGACAGACCAGCTGATCACATGAAAGCACCCTGACATGGGGTCCCGGGCTGTAAACCGGGTGTGCACGAGTGTGGGGGCATGCGCATGAATGCATGTGTGCGCGTGTGGGCGTGTGTGTACACAGATTTAAGAGGGAGTGTAGAGGGAACTGGAAAGAGCCTGGCCTGTTTTAATTTGGGTCTGTTTGGGTGCATTGAGCACTTCAGGGCTTCTACATTCAGTTTGCTCAAAAGAGTGCTGAAGCACTCCTTGCTTATGCCTCAAATCAGAAATGCATGAAGTGCAGCTGCAGAGATAATACATTTTCCCCAAAGGCTTTGGCTGAGCAAATTAGGTGTCAATGGGGTGCCTGCGCAGGCAGTACTCTCTCTAATTAGTCTCTTGAGCCTAGTTGGTGGCGGGTATGAGATGATCTAATCAATTGGTCTGTGTCTGATGGTTCCTGTAAAAATCCTACCAGGCAGACTCTCTCCCACAGGTCACCCACCTGCACAGCGGGGCTGCTCATTTTCATTTTTCATCTCCTCCGTCACATGATGCTGACAGTTGGTTTTTTAAAAATTGAATCCAAAAAATATCTAGTTCATAGGGCACACGGGTCAGAACAAAGTTGCATTATGGGTACCGGCAATCCAATTAATTAATATTTATAGCCGAGAGGCTCTATGTAGATGGTTCTGAATAAGGATTTTATCAATAAAACCCAATTTCCAGTTTAAAACATTCCATTCTAAGAAGACAGCAATATTAAAATGGCGTCCATTCATCTGAGGAGCTATATGCCTCTGAGGGTGTGCACACAATTGAATTTATCATTCAAATCCACTGTTCGTCTTTAACATGGAGATGGCCAGTTTTGACTACTGCACGCGAGAGGAAGACTTACGTTGTCATGACAGCTTACGCCCTCATGAGTTGAGTTTGCCCTCTCTCCTGTCACCTAAGTCTCCATCCAAAGTATTTTCGTTTTAATTTTAAATTTTACGATCTTGGCTTGCACGCCTTGGAAGCTGAAGCAGATGCTGCCCATGCTCAGGAGAGGAAGGGAAAGGGCACGCGGAGCTGCTGGTGAGCGATACAGGCAGGGCCAGTGGAGCAACATAGACGATTTGGAGTCCTCTCAGAGAGAGCCGGCAAAGCCTAGCTCTTGTTGGCATTGCCTTGTGAGCTCCAACCTAAGGAATGGACTTATAACCACTGTGTTCCCCATGTATTATGCAAATATTATTATCTAGCCTTCATTATCCAATTCTGCTTATGTCCTAGGGTGAAGTTCTTCGAGATTATGCTCAAAGAATCAGGCAGGGCAAAGGCCAAGACACACACCATCAGTGGCTCTAAAAAGTCTTAAATCAACCCAAATGAACAGTAGTATCATGCCCTGGACTCTTGCAACAACATAGTCTATCATTACATAAAAACACATATACCAAACACACACACACGTGCATGCATGCACGCACACACGCACGCACACAAAACTCTGCTGCCATTGAATTGATCCTGCCTCGTAAGGACCTTGTAATACAGGGTAGAATCAGCTTAGAAGGTCTCCAAGGATCTGATCTTTACAGGAACATGCTCTCCTCGCAAGCTTTCAGATTCTCCTTTCCGATTCATTCAGCAACGCGTACTGGGCGTCTGCTGGGGGAAACAGCAGTCATCAACATTACTTTCAACTGGAGTCTCTTTGACGCCACCCACCCCACCCTTCACTGCGTCACAGGAAGTGTCCCTGTGCATTTTTTAAAAAGCCATACTCACTGCCATTGAGGACTCTGGCTCAGCACCCCTGAAGGACAGGGGAGGACTGTGCCTCGGGGTTTCCCAGCGGGTAATAGTTACCCAGCAGAAAGTCCTATCTTTCTACCACCAGAGCAGCTGGCGCGTGCGCGCTGCTGACCACGTGGGTAGCAGCCCACCTCATCACCCACGACGGCCCAGACCTCAGGAAGAACTAAAGGAGGGCTTTGCCAGTCTGTGCCACGGTGGAGGTGGTGGTGGTAGCTCCGAGCCCAGGCTGGCAGATGTCCCTGCAGCAAACCTGTGGCCGTGGTGTGTGCAGAAGTCCCTGGAGGAGCTGGAATCTCAGCTTCTACTGAAGCAAAATGGAGGGAAATGGCACTTTTAAAATCTCCTTAATTAAAATAAAGAGGTTGGTCGTGGAGCTGGAGGACGTACAAAGATGCCTATGGACAGGTGTGCTTGAAACACTGGATGAACACGTGTTCTCCCTGGCATTGGAAGCCTGGGGGAAGGTGCCAGTGCCCGTATCGGAATGCACTGGGAGAGCAAAGGCTGCCTCTTTGTAAAGATTCCTCTAGCGTAACAAGGGTCAGTGGAGCCTAAGGGGGTGTTCCCAGCTAGTATTTTGGCCAACACGATGACATCTGTCAGAGGTGGTTTGACAGAGACATATCTGGAAAGCCTGGCAGGGGTGAGGGGTGACCAAGTGAGCTGCATGGAAACCACCCTGGGAGCCGCAGATGTTTCAGGTTAACAGCTGAGAACCTAGGACTCACTGGTAGCAAAGGACTTTATATATAGCAGACCTCTCCCAGAGAGCAAAGATAACCAACCAAACCCACTGCCATCCAATTCCGGCTCATAGCAACCCTGTCGGACAGAGTGTAACTGCCTCAAGGGCTTTCCAAGGCCACACATCTTTCCAGAAGCAACTGATCACATCTCCCTCTCATGGGGTGACTGCTGTGAAGCCGAGTGCTTTAGCCACGGTGCCACTAAAGCTCTTAGAATCTTAACAGAAGGGTTGTATTTACTTTGAGCCTAGTCACTGAGGAGAGAACTCTTCAAAAACAGAAGTCCATGGGGGAAATGAATAGAAGGTGGAGAGGATGCTGCTGCGGACCTGCTGTTTACCTACGAGATTAGAACGTTTTGCTCTCTTGTTCAGGGTAGCCGCAGTGCATAAGTGAGTCCCTCGATGCTGTGGCCAGTAGGGGGGTGGACAGCCAGCACCAAGAAGTCTCAGCCAAAAGCCAAACCTACAGGTCAGGTTGTAGCCCAGGTTCCCTCTGTGTCCAGGAAGATGACAGTGTGGCACTGTTAGTGGGGTGATGCATTGATTGGGGCCTCAATGGAACTGGTGGGTGGAGTTCTCATGGGTCTGGCTCTTTCCAGCCTGATTCACTGAAAATGCTGTTCGGGGCTTAAAAGAAGTGTGGAGAGGGTCAGAGTGACCCACCTTCCTCATTGCTCCTCATCTGTTCACCTGGAATTCCTTACTGTGTTGTGAGCCAGGCCCCTTGGAAACGTTTGGCACCCATTCCATACAGTCCCGTGCAGGGGGCAGTGATGAGGAGAGGCTGACGGTGCAGATCACGCTGCTCAATTTTCAGTCTGCTGCAGCTCAGCCTGCGGACGGGCCCTTGAAGAATCACACACAGCTGTGTTTTTCACTTTTTTAAACATGATTGCAGTCCATTTTCCCATTCTATTTTCCTAAAAATGAACGCGACACACTGGCCCTTTGCTGTGTCCAGATGAGGCTCCACAGGAGCCCTAGGGCACGTGTGGGGTGAGTGTCGGACTGTGGTTCAAACCCGTAAGCCCCCCATGGGAGAAGGAGAAAACTGTCTGCTGCCGTGAAGATTCATAGCCTAAGTGTGAGTCTGAATCAACCTGACAACAATAGGTTGACCTTGGAGGTGTTTATGATGGTCTAGACCAATGGTTCTCAACCTGGGGGTCTCGACCCCTTTGGGGTTAAATGATTCCTAACACCATATTTCCGATGGTTTTAGGAACTGAGACACCACTCCTCTATCTGTCTCCAGACAGGTGCGCCCACTTGCAGATATGCTCACATAAGGGGATCACCACAACATGAGGAAATGTATTAAAGGGTTGCGGCATTAGGAAGGTTGATAACCACTGGTCTAGACCCTTAATTAAGACCAATATTCTGACTAATAATTTGGGGGAAGGAAATATGCTGAATTTATATGTAATCCATTAAGAGGTTCCCCGACTAACTTACTGCCATCGAGACGATGTGCACATATAGGGGCCCAATAGGACAGAGTAGAACTGCCCCTATGCGTTTCCAGGACTGTAACTCTTCACAGGAGTAGAAAGCCCCATCTTTTTTTCTAAGAAGTGGTGGCCGGTGGCTTCGAACTGCTGACCTAGTACAACACAGCACAACTTGTAACCACCACACTAGCAGGGTTGTAACTCCCATTGAAGTCACTGTTTGCTGCGGTGGGCAATACCCCGCCCTGGGGAGGAGGGGCTGGAATGATAGTGTGGGTGTGTGTGGGCATGGGTGTGTGTGTGTGCCCTGCAAAAGTAGATACACTAAATTTTGTCGTGGATTATGGGCTGTCATACAAATGTTTTTAATTACCAGGAAGGTCCCTGAGTAATCTACTTTTTTTTCTGGCAAGGGAGTATTGGGCCAAATACGTTTGGGAACCTATGGCTTAAATCCAGGAAGTTAAAGCCGTTCGGGGAAGACAGTCGAGTCAGAACATTTGTGTATCCTCTTCTAAGGCTTGCTTCGGGGACAGGGACTCCACCGCCTCAAGCACGCATGCATGTGTTCTGGGCAGCTGTGCAGAACAGGGCTGGGCTCAATTTGGCCTGTTCTGTGTATTTGTGTCTTATGTAATTCAGGAAAAATGTTTGGGTTTTTGTTTTGTTTTTAATGTAACCATTCTCCCTTTTCCTCCCTCCAGGATTAAGTTGTCATCATTCTGGGAAGACAAGACAAAAAAAAAAGAGAGAAACATGAATGAGCGGCCAATAGCGTGGAGGGAATCGTGGATCCGGTTCCTTCCCCTCTGGTGGTGGATTACTCTTACAAGAAAATTGAAGCTGGCAAGACCTTGTTTTCTCTGCCATTTATTTAAAACCTTGCACGCATTTGGATACCTTGTGATTTCCGAGAACTCTGTGAAGATGAAGCTTTGCTTACTGATACGTGGCATGGATTCTTTTCAGTCTTTTGTGTTTAGTTTTGTTTGATTTCCCTCCACGGCGCAGCATCTCTGGAAAGGTTTAGTGCTTTCCCCAGCCGTGTCTTAAACACATTAAGACAACGCATTGGGTGTTCACACTTCCTCCACAGTGTCTCGACATGAAAGCCACGCCGTGGCATAAAACAGTGCGGGTTTGCTTTGAGAGCGCTGCACGTTGGGCGCCCACTCGGTAGGAAGGAAGTGTTTGGCTAACGCAGAGCCATGCTGTCTGACTGACTTTTGACAGCTTGGCCCCCAGCTGTCAGGCCCCCACCTATTGTACCTTTTGAGGGCATTTGCATATGTGTGTGTGTTTTCTTTTTTCTTGGACATAACTGCACATTTACATAGGCTATATCAAAATCTGCTTTGCATTTTCAAGCCACACAGCATGACGACTGTTTTCAGAGTAAGTTGGAAGAGAAGAGGGGGAAGACGACAAACTCAAACACGAAGACAGGGATAAATCGCTTAGTTTTCCCCTCTGGAGATTGAGTTCACGTTTTACATGTTTCCTGGATCTCGTTGGCATCCTATTTTCCCATCCACCTGTGAGGATTTTCTAAATGGAGAAAAGAGGGAGGAACAGGAAGGATGCTTAGAACTTGGGTGCAAAAGAATAGCATTTGCTGGCCAAGCCCAGAAATGTGTCAGAAAGCAGGTCACAGAGGGTGACCTGGAGTTGCCAGAGGCTCATTTACACCAAAGCACCTTTGGGTCACATTTTGTTAAGACATCCCTGCCTCTTTGGAAGCCATCTGAATGACCGTTCGGCTGCAGGTCTCTGAAACGTGGGAGCCTTGATTTATAGATGGGGAAAGAAAGGCCCAGCTTCCCGTGGTTCCTGGAGTGGAGGCCTGTGTGCGACAGTGAGGAAAGCCTGAGGGACAGGCAGGCACAGGGCTCCAGAGGCACAGCCACCCCAGAGTCCAGCCTCGCTGGATGGGGTGGTCTCGCTGCCGAATCCCAATAACAGAGGCCAATGGGTCACTTAGGGAACTCCATCTAACGGCTGAAACCTAGCTCCTCCGGTCACCAATTCCCATAGAAAGACCTACCTGCACATTATTTTACATGATTTTCTATTCGTCAGGCTTAAGGAGAGCTTGAAAGATGTCTCACTCTCTAGGTTCAGGACTAGGAAGTATGAGCCAGGAAGTCCTTACTCTGAGAGTCCAGTGAGGAAAATGGGCCTCCCTGGTCAAAGCCAATGCACCTAGAAACTGGGACCCAGGATTCCGAAACATCGGAAACTTTCCCGGAGGGTTGGGGAAGAGGGAGGCGATATCTGAAGCTCACACTGCTACCTGTGCACACGCCCCATTCATTGCATGCTTCTGGTAACTGCCAAGTGATGCATTCTTTACAGATTGCTTTGAAAGGGAGCAGAAATTACCCAAGGCTAGAGTGTGTACTTTTTCCATAGCCAGAAACTTCCCATCCCACTTTCATACATTCCAGCCCACTGCAAGTTCGCAAAGGTGGTGTGATTTAAAATCTATTTGAATTACCTTTAAAAAAGCAAAAGTAAACAGGAGAAGACTACTTGACACACTATCAAACACTTGTTCCCGTGACTTGTGAACCAGTCATTTGGGGGAATAGCATAACAACTCTTAGATGCCCCCAGGTTTAAATCAAGAGCCATCCATGATTAAATCTTGCTGTGCAAATAAACTCTCTAATATGAAATATTTAATATTGGAAGACTTCATTAGGACTGTGAGGACCACTCGGAGAGAGATATATCCTTGTCATAGGCATTTTCTCCGAGGAAACATTATTGTCCCGTTGAGCCATCTTAGTCAGAGGAGGGGTAATCTGACGTCCCAGATCGACATTCCAGAGCAGTGTGTTGAGAAGCTTTCCCCTCCCCCCATCCTTGCCGTGGACACACCGAATCTTAAGTTCCCTCTGGGTCCCTGCCCTCTTTGCTTCTCCTGTCTGCAATCGTACTCTTGTCCCTTCTTTCACCTGACTTCTCTGAGGTGTTCCGGTTTAAACCAGCCATCAAAGTCATTACAGACTGTGTTCATTAGCAGATTTATTATTCTATTGAGAAAGCACTGGAATGTTTGGGGAGATTATTTTTATATGAAGGAAAAGCTTGAATTCAAGCAGCTGGGATAGTAAGAACACCTTAGCATGGTGATTATGTCACTGCACACAGTATTCTGGAAGGAGATTCGGGACTCCCTCTCCACTTTCTTAAAGGAACAGTTTGGCTTAAAAATACAAGATACATAGGACCTGTGTCAGGGGGTTGGGGTGGGGTGGTAGACCCCTTTGCAATGCTCAGCAAAAAGGGTAGGGAGTGTAAGACAGGGTGGCTGTCCAACCAATGACCCAAGGGTGAGAAGCTCTTTCTACCTCCCGAGTGATTGGAAAAGTTTCCTGGGGGCCTCCAGGCTTGCGGAGAAAGCAAGTCCTCGTGGTACCCTTTCCACCATGTGTATGTGGCAGTCAGTTTAATCAATACCCTAGTTTATGCTCTCTAAGATGCTCATCTGTGAATAGTACTGGTTTTGTAATCTTTGTTATATAAGAGGATGTGTAGGCTGTACATACTGGGTAGAATATTGCCTTCCCTGGATACATAGGAATATGCTGCATAATCGTGCACAACTTCAAGCTCCCTGACTGGCTTGTAGACTGAAGAAAGTGTGTGTTTCCCCAATTTTCTCATGCACACACACACACACACACATTGTTTTTTATAAGCAATCTCCCTTTTCCACCCCCTCCTCCTCACAGCATATTCTAGAGTCGCATACAAGATCTACATTCTCTAGTTGGAAGTGGATTTTAAATTTTTTCCTTTTTGTATGATGATGCACTGAAATGTGTACTTTCAAACAGCGGTTTGGTGCCTAAGAGCTGTGCGAGCATCGTTCCGAAAGCGACTACTTCAAAGGTGACGCATAGTGAGGAGAACGGAATAAAACATGTTGCACATTTGTTCCTAGTTGTAATCTGTCTGTATTACGAACGATGTACGGTTTGTCGACTGTCACTGTTGTTTTCTTGTAACATGATATGGAATAAAGTGTAGCCGAATCTCCATACATCATCTTGGTGAATGTCCATATAATACCCTTAATGGAACAAGTATCTCTAGAAAAACTCTTAAAGACACAACCATTCTGAAAGGGTGACACGAGAGGTGGAGTAGCAATGCTCTTGGATGTGGGAAGATGGGGGGTTGCCATAATATTCCAAGGTCTGCTGATCCCTCCCCTTCGTTTTATTTACAATGTGAAAAGCGGGTCAAGGAGTGGAGACGTGGGAGCAACAGGTCCTCCACCATCCCCCTGGCTCCTGGGGGCGGTTAATGGCACTTCTGCCCATCTTTTGTGGGCGTTTTTCTCTCTTCTTTTGTACATATTCGCAATAAGGTGAGTTGGTTACCCTCCACTGAATACAAATGTAAGGGTCAGCTTAGGGTCAATCTACCATAAGCATTCCTATTGCCCAAGCTGAGCACCTTTCCCTGAGCACCTTGTGGAAGGGAAGTGGATCGAATACTGTTGGGTTCCCGTATGTGGGTGGACACTGTCCAACTTGAGAGGCCAGCCCGTTGCTACCTTGACCTCTTGTGAGGTTGGTCAACTTCAGGACAATTTACTCGTGTGGTTTGTAAATTGCCAAATAACACCCCTGGGAGATACGGTATTGGATCGTTTTAAATCTTTACAGCGAAACCGTAACACTTAAAAGTATCGAGGTCAACGAAATGGGAGTGGATTTCATGAAGCCGCCCCAGAAGTGCTCTCCCCGGCCCTCATACATGCACAGTCTCAAGAGCAGCAGCATCGCATCGTCTCCCAAACCCAGTGACTCCAGAGCCGCTCCTTTCTCCTGGAGGAACCCCCCGCGGGCTTCGCTTCCCGAGCGCCGCTCATAGCCGCTGTCGGTTCCCATGTTTGCCAGCCCTCCCCAAGTCGCCTTCTCCAGGCCAAACCCCGCTCTGGGCAGCGGACCGTCCTCCACCCAGAACCAGTCTGAACCCCGCAGGCTGCCTGCGGCTTCTGAAGCGCGCGGGGTGGGGTGGGGTGGGGGTGCAAAGACAAGTTCATGTTCAGGTCCGACGCGCGTCAGGAGCGGCTTCTGGGCAGGAAACGTCAGAGAGGTAGACAGTCGTCGCAGGGATGATAGAATATGCAAAGGCTTTGGGGAAATGGGGCCGCGGACTTGCCTGGAAAGGGACCTCGCGAGAGCTTCACACGCTCCGAGGTTCCCATGGTACGGATTCAATCCAAATTCGTCCTGAAAGGAAGAAGAACTTAGAAGTAAGCCTTGGTCTGCGTCAGAAGCCAAAGACATACCTGCGAGACCTCCACTGCCTTTGTTCCGTGGGGCGGTCGAGAGGAGAAGCTTCCTGGGAGTTCTGTAACTGTATGACTGCCGTCTTTTCTGCTGAGCCGTCCAGGCCGCGTGAAGGTGGAGCCGCCAGTGGAGTCAGGAGCGCAGCACTCACATAGTTGCCATTGGCCTCCCGAGCAAAGAGAACCAGAGAGGACGCTGTTTGAGCAAGCCCATGCCACTGGGTTAACGCCTACAGCTGCTGAAGAATGCCGGGCATTGTGAGGCTCCTCAAGGAGAACCCCACCGTGGCCCAGCAGCCTGCTGCTACCAGTGGGTGGTGGTGTTATGGGCATTAGCTCTGAGAAGCTTATACAGCAGAGGGGGCTAGGATAAAGGACACAAATCGGGAAAACTGACAAGATTTTTAAAAAGCCCAGGGCCTCGTATTTACTGTTCAGCCCCCGTGCTTGTGGTGCTCTGTGTTGTCTGCAGTGGGTCCCGCTGAGAGTGAGCCGGCACAATAATAGCTCCGAGCGGCCTTGCCGCCCCAAGCCGTCCTCTGCCACCGGGGCTGGCCCTGCTAGTGGAGAATGGGATTCTGATAGAGTGGTCTTTGTTCTCCTTCCCCGCGAGACCCCCAATAATTATGGAGGGCACGCTGCTGAGATGGGGTAAGGGTTCCCTGGTGGAGCCTCTGCTGAGAAGGGAGCCAGCAGGGGTCCCTATGAAAGTAGATGCTGCTCAGCCCAAGGGGTGACTGCCTGACAGGCACAGACAATGCTGGGGAAGTCCAGGCACACGTGTGTGAACCAGCTGTTTAAGGTTCGGAGGGGTTAGAAGGAGACTCAGCTTTAAAAGCCAGGCTCCAAGACTCTTCCCCTCTCCTCTCCAAGGAAGTCTAGGTACCTGGCTTCCTCAAAGGAAAGCTGACAGCCACTGAGCTCCCTGGGGAAGGCCGCCCCGCCAGCCTGCGGGGCGCTGGGAAGTGCAGTGCTGTCTTGCAGGTGCCCTGAGCGCTCCATACTCTTCCCGTCTTCCTGGCATCTCCCGCTCTGTTTTTTGGTAGAGGGCCCTCCGTCAGGCCTTTGACTTCTCTGATCATACAGTCTCTGTCACAACTCACTTTGCCATTGAAGCCTACAAGTAGCCATATCCAATCCATAAATTAATAAGTGTTTCTGTGCGCCAATAAAATAGTCTATGTACACAGAAATGTGAATGCTTTGTTAATTTCCACATGCTACAATATACTGTTTTGATTTTTTTTAAAATTTTTTTTAAACCTCACACCCAGTCTTTCCTCACAGATGGCAGGCAACACTCAGCAGGCAGGATTTTGCCTGAGGGCTGGAATTTGCTGACCCCAGCTTGGCATCTAGTCCTGGCACAATGCTTGGGCCTTCCAATGCTAACTGAAAGGTTCAAATCCACCCAGTAGGTCCACGGAAGAAAAGATCTGACCTCCTTCAAGTTACAACCTAGAAAACTCCACGGGGCGGGCGGTTTGATTCAGTCACAAAGGATGACTGCGTCAATCTACTCCAAGGCACACGACAAGAAGGGAGTCACTCGATGAGGCAAATGGTTCATGCGTTTGGTTGCTCACTGAAAAGTTGTCAGGTCAAGGCCACCCGGAGGCACCTCAGAAGAAAGGCCCAACAATGTACTTCAGAACAACCAGCCAGTGAAACGCACACGAAACCCGGCGCTACTCTGACACAGATAGGATCGCTGAGTGTGCGCCAACTCAGTGGCAATTGGTAACAGGACAAACCAGGTCCATTGGCAGGGTCTAGTGTAACAAGGGTAAAACTCAGGACCTACCTACTGTTTGTTTGAATATCGAAATGTGTGACTTGAACTATGGCTGCTAAATATGTTCTCTTCCCTTGCTTCCACAAATAGCATTTGTCAAAATGACCGATTTGCACTAAGCATTCCTGGACTCCTCCAAGTTCTTTGCCCAAACAGAGCAATGCAGAAAGAGCTGATCCTACCGCAGACTGACCCCATTCTTTCACTTCCAAGCCCCAGCTCCATCTTTGACGTGAGGGCCATGTGGGTGTGTGCAACTCCCGGCCCCCACCTCCACATCCTGGTAGATCTCTCTCAGCCAAACAGCTTCTCCTAGGTCAGCCCTTGGGGATCAGGTGCACCGGCTCAGGAGAAGACATTTTCCCCGAGAACCCCAGCATTCTGCACACCTAGAGTGCGGAGGAGCGGGGTGGGGTAGATTCCTGGAGAGCACAACACCGTGGAGGCCTTATCCTGTGAGGGGAGGCCACCCAGAGCCAGGCCCTTGAAGCATGAGAACCAAGACACGGACCCCTTTTTGGCTGGGTTTAAGGGGACTTCGGGTGGGCATCCTGAGCCTCAGAGAAGCAGTGCTCATCATAACAGAAGACAGCACCATTCTGAGGAGACGGTATATTTGTTTGTTTGCCAGAACATCTGGTATGAACTCACAAGGACAAATAGTTAAAATATTTAGGCATATTGTGAGCCAGGTCTGTAACCATGGATAGCTTGAAATTAGTTGGGAATATTTGCACCACAGAAATTGGTAAACATTACAAATCAAGCTTTTCCTGCTCTCTTTCTTTTCTTTCACTTTTGAGAACCGTATGTCCAGCACATCATTATCCTCTGACCCTTTCTTTTCAGCCCCCATCTCCCATCCCTCTAGTTCCTTGCCTTTAGTGTCTGTGAAGACTCCCAGTAGCCCTTGGCTCATGGCCCCATTCCTGTATCTTCCAAGTCAACAAGGCCAGACGTGTCCTCACTCAGCTTTCTCAGTCTCTCCCTGCTGCCTCCCTCCTTCACTTCTCTGAACCCAGTGGTTATATTGGATCCATGCACAGGACCCAGGATCATCTCCCCAGCTCAAAAGCATCTGATAAGCTACCTTCATTCCATGAGATACCCGGTCTTCGATGCCATCTAACCTAATCTATTCACAAGTTCTGGAGACTAGAACATGCACACCTTGGGGACCATTATTTGTCTCACTGCAGTATTTTCATTGCTTTAAGATTTATCCTAATCCAATTTTTCCAACACATAGTTGTTGAGTGCCTATGATGTGCTCTCGAGGTGCAGTGGGTAAGTGCTGTGCTGCTAGCCAAAAGGTCAAGGGGTCAAAACCATCAGCCACTCCACAGGAGCAAGAGTGGCTTGAAAACCCAGTGGAGGATCCCAGGTGGAGAAGTGGGCTCCGCCTGGGGCTGTTAACCAGCAGGTCTGCAATTTGACCCACCTGCCAGACCAGGTGGGAATGAGGAGCAGCTCCGCTGCTGTAAATATTCCGTCTTGGAAACCTTCCGGGCAGGTCTCTTATCCTGTAGGTTTGCTGTGAAATGCGGAGTCTAAATCAACTGTCCATCAGTGGGTTTGATTTACTACGTTTCAGGCAACTTAATTTCACGTAGTGGTAAGTACTATGGGGGAAACTGAGCATCGCTACCATTGTACCTTTCCATTTTATTATACTTACCAATCTGTATGTCTGCCTTTCACAACGGACTCTGAGTGTGTGAGGGTCAGCGCTGGGTCTTTTTCATTATGCATCTCTAGGATCTCCTAGATCAGACCTTGATGCAGTGTAGATTTGTAATAACTGTCGGTTTGGAGTAAGTCAATGAAGTCACAAGGAGGTGTGATACATAGCACATGGAGAGACAGAGAGAGAGAGGATGGATGGTGGCCTTTCCATCGAAAAGGCCTCTTGAAGGGGCGGCATCTAAGCGGAGCTTCTGAAACA